GTGGTTAATATGTACCAATATCATGACCATTCTGCATGTGGTTTACTATACCTGGAGATACTGCTGTTCAGAGTTGGCTGTGACGTTGCAGGGGGGACACGCATACACCGTGCTGGCCGGCATCTCGGCCTCCGTCGCAGTTGTCGGTGGGGTTGTCAGACGGCAGCTGGCCGCATTCTTGGCGGCCTCCATCACATACTTGTGCTTGCTCCCTGCGACAAGGCAACGTAACAGCTTAAGGCTATTCAGATGCTCCAACTGTAAAGTCAAGGTTGGCTTCTGACGCAGGAAGGAATAATGCTTGGATTTAATATGACAATGAGCAGAAAAAAAAATGGGGAACGCAATAAGACTGGTAAGAATTTTTGACCTCTGACCCCACACGGTGTTACTGGTTTGCGGTGATTCTCTCACTGTGTAAGGAGTGGATAGGCTGATCAACTCCACATACTAGTTTTGGCCTAAGGACCCTTTGAACATTCCCAAAGACATCCGCGCTTCAAATAAGGACACCCTAACTTTCAACATGGAGAAATTACTTTTAAAAAAACACCAAAATGTTTTAAAGAACCAAGAACTTGAACAGGAGGAAAGACATTATCCCTGTACCCTTTCTGCTCAATTTTTTAAAGAAAGAAGAGCTGGAGTTCCAACCTATCGATATCTTGACTGAAAACCCGCATGAATTATACAAAAACCTCAATCCCAATGCACAACTCTACCCTCTTAGTCGTAGTTTGATACATCACAAGTCTAGTCACAGGTAGCAGGACTGTGACAAAAGGATCGCCTCTGTCCAAGCTCATCTGTGTAGATGTTGGGCCTGGCTTAAGACTGGAGTGACAAGTAGAGACACGCCAAGACCCGGTCTTGAATGCGGCCCCTGCACAGCTGAGGTGCTGGAATGTACCTGAGAAATGTTGATCCAGCTGGGTTTGGGAGGTGCACACGACGTCACAGTGCTTGCAATAGAAACAGTCGGGTACTGAGGAAGGGTTCACAGGTTTCTCTGTAATAACGATACGAGAAAAACCTGAAACCTTACCGGATGGTCAAGTGTCCGTACAGATACGTACTGTCTCTCCATACCGGTACCTCCAGTCTGCAAACGAGTCACATTTCAACCATCTGTGAAAGCCCCACAGGGCTAAAATTTTCACACTGGGCTTTTGCATGTCACTGACTCTGTTCTCACAGCTCGTGAGAGGGGTGAAACACGCGAGTCTGGTCAATCAAAGTAGGCTTGCGTTCGTGGTGTTTGCCCTCAATGCCCTGAGGAGTTTAATAAGTGGTGCCTGATTCCATGCACAATGGTGGTCACATGGTTTCCGACCTCCTTATTAATTGTACTTCACAAACAACAAGAGGTTTGACCAAAAAAACGAGGGTGGGATTAGAGGTAAAGGTATTGCTTTATTATTGTCACTGCTCTTTTCTTTTTTATAAAACCTCTTTTTGTGCTGAGAATTAGCTATGAGGTTGGCAACAGTGTGACGAAATTTTCACTTTCGAAAGAAACTGCCATGTTGTGTCTTCTGGCAACTGTTGGGACATATTTTTGATATTGGAAATGAGCAAAACCAAACCATTCAAACTTGTACATTTCGTACTCAAGAGGCAATACCGTTGCCATCTGTGGACTTGTAGAAGGTTTGAAGTTACAGGAACATTATAAAAAGCAAGAAAATTAGCAATACAAACTTCCTGTGTGATACTGCAGAGGCACAGAGTGAATATAAAAAATGTCCAAGCAAGCCACTTCACGCTGTGAATAGACTTTCTAGGTGAATCAAATTGCACATTGAGTCGCAGCCACTTTGAAACACTGCCTTGCAATATTCCCAAGTTTCCCCACCTCCCCTGAGTCCCCTCCCCTCTCAAACCCAGCCTGCTCAGCTATCCACCATCAGCGCCATCACTTGCCTTTTTGGGCCTGCTCCAGCTTCTCCTTCTCGGCAAGCTCCCGCAGCTTCCTGGCGTGCCTGGCGCCGGTCAGGTGTGTCTGCACCTCGCCCAGGCCGGTGAAGGTCAGACCGCAGACACTGCAGTGAGGCAGGAGTGGGATGGACTTCTCCTTGGCGGGGGCGGACGGCGAGGAGCTGTTCGGCGGGGTGACCGGTGGCACGATATCAGGTGCGATTATCGCTGTAAGAAAATGTAAAGAATGTCACAGAGGCTCAGCGGCATATCCAGAGTGGGGCAAGATTTGCCTCCCCCAACGGCATGTTGACAGCTTTTCCTGGGGGGGGGGGAAATTGAAAGAATAAGCAGTCTAGAAGCAATAACAATCACCTTTCTTGGTGGGGTAGAGGGGGGTTGAAGATTCTGTTCAGGACGAAAAAACATTTAAACAATCATTTGGGGAAAAAATTCTATCCCCCACCCTTAACCCAAGACATGAGACACATCACTGCAGAGGTTACAAGCACCTGAAATGTTCCTTTTATCTCCAGTAATGGTATGAGCAAAGGCGCTTCTTATTTATATCCCTAAATGAAATCAACAATGAAATGATGGGGTACGTTTAACTAATGGCAGGAGATTTACAACGTACATGAACCATACAAGTTTGCAGCGCATACATGCACCAGATTTTCAACAAAACTGACATCGGGCAGCCAATGGACAAGGGAGGGCTAGGCCCCCTAGCTGAGAATAGCTTACCCCTGAGCCATTCCAGCATTAACTGTACCTAGTTTTTACCTAATGACTCGGCCAATGCCTGCTGTCGCAGTTTCTTCTGGTGTACTTTTCCGGCATAGTGCATGTCGGCCTGGGTCTTGGAGTTCAAGTAGATGTGGCAGATTTTGCACATCTTGAACTCCCCCAGCGTCTGGGCATTTTTCTCTGGGCCCTCCAGCTTGCCAGCTTCAGGACCTGACTGGACAGCATCCTGCTGGCATGACACTCCAGCACCATCCAACACCTGTGGAATGCTCCTTGGTTCAGGTAGGGTGAAGTCTGCCAACGATGGCATCAGGTCAGACGTTGTGCTTATATCTGGCTCAGGAGGGGAGCTTTCCGGTAAGATTATATCCGGAAGAGAAAAGTCAGGAAGGTCTGATGGTTCCATTCTTTTCTTCTTGAAGATGTCAAATGATGACCGACGAGTTCTCCTTGTTGAAGACCAGTGACGTTCAAAATGTCTTCAGGTTGCCAATCAGAAGCAGAAATTGGACCTGCAAAATGAGAGTTGACCTTTTGATAACACAGGAAAAACTTGTGGAAAAGCCAGATTCATACAATCAGTCTAGATTACCAAATAAACATGAGCATAGTGACCTGTCCTTACTGATATGTATTTTTTGTCCAAATTCAACTTAAAATATCTCAAATTGGCAACAATGAATTTTAAATCCCATCGGTAAAAACCTGTTTTAGAACTTCTAGTTGTACATGTCTGTGGTCAGGTTTTTTGGCACAATCAAATTTTTGCAATTTAAATTTTTCGTCAGTGCTTTTGTTCCATATGCTGCAACAATTTAAGAAAAGTACACCATAACACGGAAACATCCATACAATCTGTTGCAGGCTGCTAGAACAAGCCTTGTGATTGGTCAGATAGCGCAAGATTTGTGACGTAATAGGCTGTCCAAATATCATAATACTCCAGACTGATAATTTGCCATTTCTTGTTGGCTTGTATTTCAGAACTCCATCCACGGTATGTGTTTTCAAACCATGTTCAAAACAGAGTAGGCCCTTGCCCTATCATAGCCAGCTCTGGTGAAGTCATCATTACTAGAGCCAATGATTTAGTCAGTATCTTTGGTCGGGGAACCCACCGTTATAAATGCATTTTGTGCTTGGGCATGTTCAAAGTAAGTCTTCAGTGGATTTTTACGATGGAAGCATGGAGCTGTGACATGTACCTCCATTCGGTAAAAAGTGTGAAAAAAAGGTATCATAAAAGAGTTCGCTACTACTGCAGGATGAATGGATACCTTGGATGCCATTCACAGTGAAATAAAGACTGGGCCATCTGTACATGTATACTGTCAAGCCTACAATTTATTTTTAGCTTGCTCCCTGAAAGTTATGCTCTTGCAGTCTAGCATGTCTAGTCTATGTGGGCTACAGAAAGAGTTCCATATACGGACGCCACTTGACACCCCCATGCACAAACCCTATGAGACTGGTCTGAAAAATTTTAAAAGTTTCTAAGTAAACGACTTGGTTTTTTCCCTCCTAAATTGAACTTTCCTGGATATGTCTTTGGTTTCTGAAGGCTAACACTAAAACAGGTCACTGTAGGGAATAATTACTGGTGTCCATATATGGAACTCTTCCCATGGGCTACTTCTGTCCTCAGTATTACCAAACAAATAAAGCACGAGTACAAGAAGCCGGTAGGGCCTACCCAAACCATGCAGTAATATTAATAATAATATGCACAATTTTGGATTGAGTGCATGGATGAAGGAACCTTTCATTCATACAAACTTTGCTGCAAAATACACTTAAAAATGCTCTTGACTCTAGATATGAAGACAATGTGTATGTGATTCTATCTCCATGAACTAACCAAATGTATGGTGTTAATCCACCCACCCCAAAGAGCTTACAATTAAGATTTGTCAAATCATCCTCCATGGTCAAATTTCCACCCTGGGCGAAAAGTGGAAAATCCACTTACTTAGTGTGTGTGAACAGCGCCCTCTTGTATTCAGGTTTTTACGACTCGTGACTCCAGCTATGTCTGCGCCTGACCATTCATTTATTTGCCTCATTCTCTCATTAATGCGTAACATATGATTTGATTTACCTGCACAACTGTCTGCTTTGTGGGGTGATTTTGATTCTTTCTAAAACTTACAAAATTTTATTGTAAAATTCAGCACAGTTAGGAGTTCCAAGCTCCACTGCTCGTCGCGACCTGCAGCCCGGTACACGTCGTGCAACAGAAATAGTGTGGTGACAATTTCTTAGTGACAGACCGCAGCAGCAGTATCGATACTTTGTCATTTTGATTCATCAGTTAACTCTTTTATCGGCGAATTTCGACTTTGGAAAGTTGACGCCAATCTTCGAAAATCCGAAACCGTGTCAGTTTGGCACGTATTGAGTCTTGAGTAGTGGTTCTAATCAATTTAATGAAGGCCAACATATTATCCCTTAGGATTATCGTGTAGGGGATTTTCGGTTTTAACGGATGTGCGCGGAAACGCGCGCGCCTTGGGAGTCTCTCAATGTTCTTGCGTACAAGAAACTGCCAAAAGACTTATACACTAAGTCGAAAGTGCATGCGCCTCTACGGCCAGAGTGCACTTCCTACAATGTCTTTGTCCGTCATGTTACCTCTTGTAAAAAACGTCCAGGGCCTATAGTATAGCCATTGCTGCGTTGGCACAACACTCGTGGATCGGTGGTACAAGCATTTCATGCAGGCTCTTCAACCAATAGGGCGTCGTGATTTTCCCAATGTACGCGCGCGTCTTCTCAGGTTTTAGCGTAGTCTTGCTCAGATCTTCCTGCAGTTTATTCAGCTACACAAACCATCACATCAAACTCGCTGCATGACCTTTTACTTTCAGGTTCTATTGATTTATGCGCCACAGTAATCGCACACAGCATATCAGATCACTGCATCTGGCCACGAAAGGCTTGGACCCAAGACTAGTTTTAGCGTGATGGTTCTGGCCTTCCACCTCTCCGGCCCAGGTTCGAATCCTACCTAGCTAGTTGGACATATTGATTGGGTTTCGGTCTCATAAGGGAATAAATATTTGCTTAGCCGGTCTTCAATGCATTTAAGATAGGCTTAGGAGAATGGACGCGACTAGTACCTGAGCCACAGATGCGTTTCGAGATGTTTTTACGCAGTGGCCATTATCATTTTGTTAATACACGATCACGCTTCCCGTTGTTAAATGGGGAACTGTCTAATGAGGGAGCGTAATAACTGGGATTTTCCTCCGACCTCTCTAATATACAAACTATTCATAATCAACCAAATCATCCTGCGTGCTGCAGCTGCGGCCCGGCAGCGGCGGTTGGATGAACAGAACCTCTTTCGAACATTTAGTATTATATAACGTTTTGATTCATAAATGAACTGATACCGAAACGGGCTTCCAGAGCTACGTCTAGGTCTATTGTCTGCGCGTCTCCACGCATTTCCAATAGAGCGAAGACCTAGACCTAGCTAGAAACCGTGGAAAAACCCGGTTGTATGCACAGACTACTGTAGAGTACCAAAGTGTGACGTCACTGTGAACCAGAAAGTGCATAGTAAACGAATGGAGTACACGAGTACAAAATTTAATCGAAGAATCGAACATTGACTCGTCTGGTACCCTGCCTGCTCCAGTCTGGGTATGTTTTAACACTACTACCAAGCAATGTTGGCGATTACGCGATTTTACAGCCAGATTCTGGAATGGTCGATGGGAACAGCTGAATATTTTCAGAAATCAAGTTAATACTCGAATTAGATTCGAGTAACGATGGAAAATACCCTGGAGCGTTTGCTTGACGAGACGTGAGTTGTGCAATTTACTCACAGTGGCAAATATTTGATGGTTGTTGTTATAATTTGCTAACTCTAACGTCTTAGTTCAACTTCAAGGGGATCCTTTAATACTCCATCATGTCAATGTACTCCGAGTACTCGACATGGTCGACAACCGGACAAGCCTTGCTTCTTGGGGATCCACTTCAACATGTATCTTGTGAGGTCATCTCACCGGTTCCAATTCACTTATAGATTAAGGGATATTACTGATGTAAAGATTATGTCTGATATTATTGTTACTGTCAGGCCTATCCGATGTGGAAAAAATTGTAATGAATGACTAACCCCCAAAACTGTGCGGTCTGACATCTGCCCCCCCCCAACAGTTCTGGGGTATGAATGACTCTAGGTGGGACCGCAACTTTTTAAAACTTTTTTTAGCTGAGTTGTTCTCTAGGCCTGGAAATGACCTGTTTAACGTTGGCACTGCACTACATGTACATGTATATGCAACTCTATTCAGAAAGAGTTCCATATACGGATGGATGCCACTTGACGCCCCTTGTACTTGGGTCTGAAAAATTGTAAGTGTTTTCTACGTAAACTACTTGTTTTTTTTCCCTCCTAAATTGAATTTTTCTGAATTCTGGAAATGTTTTTGCATTCTGAAGGCTGGTATACGTCACTGTAGGGAATAATTACTGGCATCTGTATATGAATTTCTTCTGCATCTCATTCTGTTTGCAGCTTAAGCAACCCCGGTGTTGTTGGAGTTTTGTGTGCTGATAAGCAGGGACTCTGCCTTAGTGGTAAATATGTATACTTTACATTTTCCAATCCTAGCAAAATGAGAGATTTGAATATGAACTATGCTTGGCAGAAGAAACACACTTAGGCCCATGTTGAGGGATATCAGACGATAAGCAGATGCCTCGCAATTAGGCCTTTACATCATGCTGTCTTTTTCAATTTTTAAGGTAGCAAAAATGATGGCCGCCCAACATCACTTCACAATGGAGTGATATAAAAAATTGGTATCTTCATGATCATCAAATTTATTAATTGTTACTTTCCACTCATCACTGCACCACCTCTTTCCTTTTCCTTGGTTTGTCCTGTTTTCAGGTTTATGTTTCATTTCTTTCCTTTGCAAGAATGTCCCATCCATGGCTAAATTATGTCGATCCTTCCACAACCCTGCTTCTATTTCCTGTATGAAAGTTATAGAACTTTCTCCCTTCTGTTCTGTGTGCTCCTCCAGCTAAAGGAACAGCCTCCCCAGAGTCATCAGGCATTGTGGTCGCCCTATCCCAGCAGGCTGCACTGCTCAAACCAGAGACGAGTACAACGCCTGTCATTTGCCTAGAATCAGATAAAGGGTGAGTTCCTGGATCCTGGTAGCAAGCCATATGAGCATCCCCTCTCAAAAACCCTCAGAAGACATAATCTGCAGCTCATAAAGTATTTTGACTGATCAGCAAAGTAAGGCCTTG